AGGTATCACAATCGAAAAGCTTGCAGACGAACTGTGAAGAACGACCTGAAGAGCGTGAACCTGATGCTGGTGAAATCACAAACTTCTTTTCCAGGGCATGGACTACCTTGGTGGGAAGCGTTACATTCACAGAGACCTGGCCACCAGGAACATTCTGGTGGAGAGCGAGATGAGGGTGAAGATCGGCGATTTTGGCCTAACCAAAGTGCTGCCGCAGGACAAGGAGTACTACACTGTCAGGGAGCCTGGGGAGAGCCCCATCTTCTGGTGAGCACCGTAGGGGAGGAACTATGCTGTTTTTGTTTAGGCACATGTGTTGTCAGAAAGAAGATGGATAAACAGCGACTGGCTGTCAAGAAGATGTAGCAAGATTAATGAAGTTGCTGTGGTAACAGAGGCAGATGAGACATAGATTTGTCCAGAGTGCTGTTTGTCACACATGCATCAAATAATATGATTTTAATAGAAAGACACTCTGTTCTGTATGAAGAGTGGAAGTTTTCTGAGATTTGACTGATTATTCTGGAACACTAAAATGCAATAAACCCCCTATGTGTGACATCCTTTTTTTTCTGGTGTGATAATTTCATCTTTTGTATTCATGCCACATCCATCTGCAGGACTACTTTATGTAATTTCTGAATGCTAAAAATTGATGTGAATAATTAAATCCCCTTTTTTTTAAAAACAGTAAAGAGTGAAATGGATTATTTTTGCTCTGTAAAAAGCAAAAATAAAGAGCAGAATCTGACATTTTCTATCCGGTTATTGGATTATGATAATAATTGTTGGTTGCAGATGTTATAATGTCTTGCTGTGTGTTGCAGGTATGCCCCCGAGTCGCTGACAGAGAGCAAGTTCTCAGTAGCATCAGACGTTTGGAGCTTCGGCGTCGTTCTGTATGAGCTCTTTACCTACAGTGACAAGAACTGCAGCCCCCCAGCGGTACGGCGCCTCTTTGTTCTTAGTTTAACTACCCATCTCACACTTAGTTTATATTTCTTCATCCAAGTTGAGTTTGAAAACAACTCCATCTTCTGATGGAGTTTTACTGCCTCACATATCTGATCGGGATTCTTTTATTGGAACAGTTATTGAGAGCAAACTCCTCTGTGTTGCAGGTTTTCATGGAGAAGATGGGAAATGAAAAGCAGGGCCAGATGATCGTCTACCATTTGATTGACCTGCTGAAACAGGGATATAGACTCCCTGCCCCTGAAAACTGCCCAAAGGAGGTCTGCAGCAGCTACAAGTTTAGTGTTTATCGCCGCCATGACGTGGCTTTAACGTCTTCCTTTTGCTCCTTCAGATTCACAAGATCATGATGGAGTGCTGGAGCAGTGACCCGAAACTGCGGCCCACATTCAAGGCCCTGATCCAGCGGGTGGAGACCGTGCGAGAGAGCAAGGACGGATGAGACGGACGCAGCGAATTCCTGAACTGTTGACCCGCCGGTGTTGACGCGCGCAAATCAGTCATCACACAACGTCCAGAGTTACCAAATGGAGTTTAGGTGGTGGCTGCGTTCACACTCGTGGCAGCTCCACCGCTTCATGAAGAAAAGACTGAAATGACGAGTACACTACAGCTAACTCAAAAGATTTCCTCTGATGTTTTCGAGTACAATTCTACATTTTTTCTTTTTTTTAATTTTTTTTATTTGGTATTTACAATCCAAACTGCATTCTGAACAGACTTTCAGCCATGTGGCTGCACTTGAAATCACAAGGAAACCGAGAACTTCCAGTTCTTCGCCAGTCGGTGCTAGAGTCGGTCTTTAAGTGGTTCTGCCTTGTTTTTCCATCACTGCCATTACATCATCATAAACATCTCATCTAATTGTTGTTTGGTCCCTCCATCTTCTGAGAATGGAGGCAATTCAACCAAACAAATAGGATTTATCCAAGTATGACTGCAAACAGAAGCCCCAATATAACCAACTGGGTTTAATAACACTTCTAAAAAAAAAAAAAAAAACTGAGCTTTTTGAATGCCTGATCTAACAGCTTTTAGAGAAAGATTTATTAACACCACCTGTGTAGAAGAACTGAGTCAGAAAGGAGAACCACAGCCATAAACTGGCTTACTTAAACTCTGAGACAGATCAGAGTTTTTTGCAAGATAAAGCGACTTGCAAAGGTATTTACACCCTGAGAAGTTTAACAAACGTGTGAAGGCTTCACCAACAGCTGCATTAATACAGTTTAAATCATGCACAGGCAGACTGGATTAGTAATGAGGTGAGTTCTAAAGAGAATTACCGAACCGAACCACACATTAACCGGTTAGTGCGCGACTTGCCAGTGGAAAATCGCCTATGGTGAATCTGGGGAGGCAGTTAGAGATTAGGGAGATGGCAGATAGGCCTTTCAACCTCAAAGACTTGGGGCTCATCACAAAACGTAAAACATCAAAGACCAGTGGAAAGATGAAAAATCTGTCCTGCAATTACAGGAAGAGCTGGACTGCTGTGATGCCAAGCAAGATTTTTCCACTGATTGTAGAGAAAAGTATAGTTTTCAACTAAATATATGGAAGTTGTCAAGTGACAAAATTTAAAAAGACCTTAGGGGTAGGGATAATTTTACATGGCACCCTAAGTCATACACTTTGCATGGTGGGGAAAAAAAAAAAAGATTTTAATATCAAAGATGTTGACTTGTTAAATGTTTGCATCTTTTTATTAAAAATTTTAACAACCACGAATGCTCAACATGTAAATGCTTTGTGGAGGGAGCATTTTGTGAGCGATCATGAAGTTATACTGTAATGCCTCTGGAGGTTTTTATTTTAATTTACATATACTTTTTTTTAATGCATCACACATTCTGAATGTTACCAGGCTTCATTGTCAGCCTATGGAAAGCTTTAAAATAAGTGGATGCCTATATTTTATGCAAGCTATCAGTTTATTTAAATATTTTTTGTGATTTCTGGTCAGTTAGATTTGCTGTCTTTTGATGTGTATATTTGCATTACATTACCAACCATAAATGAGTGGTAAGAAGGGCTGCTTTGTATTTTTTCTCTGTTTTATGTCACTATTTTGGGAATATTTAAAGGGGACCTATTATGCAAAGTTCACTTTTTGCATGTTTTTGTACTTCAATTTGGGTCTCAGCTGCTTGTAAAAAACAGTTCAAGGGATTTAAAACAAAAAAAAAAAAAAAAAAAACACCCAAAAAAGATTTTTTTTGAAAAAAAGTTTGTTTTTTGGTTTCAGGAAAACAAGCCATTTCATAAATCTCCCAATTATTCACTCGCAATTGGCAGGCGCTGCCCTGTTGCCTAGCAACCCTGGCGGAGCTCCAACATGTTTGGTCAGCTGGTTTTACTGCTGTATGCATTATACAATGGCTGCTAGAAAAGACAAGTGATTTGTGGTTGACTTAATGTGTAATGTAGAAAAGCGCATGTGTAAACGTTGACTAGGGGGGCGTGGGCCGCAGCAGCTCATATGGATTTAACATTTAACATCTGATCCTGAAAGGAGCTCCAAATAGGCAGAAATGAGCAGACTGCAATCTCATCCAAGAATGATTTTGTGCAAAAAAAAAAAAAAATGTAATATATATCCTAACTTGCTCAAGAAAACACAATAGGTCCCCTTTGAGACAAAGTATGATGGATATTGATGACTGAAGGCTTTAATGAAAATATGCATTTTGTGAAATATTAAGTGTTCAACTTTTTCTGCCATAAACGACAAATCCTTATTTATATAAGGATTTGAATAAGGATTCAAATCAATATTAAATAATATTGTTTTTATTTAATTCAGTGCCATTACTTTGTTAAAAATATTATATCTCAAACTGCAAAAATTCATAAAACATGTTGAAAAATTGGAACTTAAACGAGCAAAAAGAAGTATTTTGTGGTCGATTATGCTTACTTTGTTTAACGCTGTGAAAAAGGGCATCTTTGTTTCAGTTGTACAACTTTTACTAATGATGAATTTGTGTTGTTTATGGTCATAAATGTCAATTTGTAAAGTGTGAGTTTATCTCATGACCAAAGATTTTTATAAAAAGAAACATTTATACTGCTCGGCTATTTCCCACGTTTATTTCCAGCCGGTTGGATTGAGTTTTGACCGTGAAAGTGAATGATCACAAATGTTTGACGTAAAAAAAAAAAAAAAAATAAAAAAAATCATCCTAAATTTATTAAATGTTCTTCTGCAGAGATGATTTTAGAAGAAATGACTGTCAAACCGTTTCAGCTGACCATAACATTTCTTCCAACTTTTTTTTTTTTTTTCCAATTTGATTTAAATCTCAACTGTTTCACGGAGAAATGCAGATTTTATTTTTTTTCCCACCACATTAATAAAATCTCACTGTGAGATTGAGATCTCAATAACAGAGTAAATAGTTTGACTCACCCTCCTCCCCCTCTGTGGATCGTTTCCACCGGGAGCCCCCGCAGGTGAAAATGACAGCTCTGATAAACTCTCTCCCGCACAGTTTCACCCGATAGTCCCTGGGCATGAGCAGTCTGCCCATCATGTCGGCTCCCATGCTGTTGCACGCGCCTCCGACGCACATCACGGCCAAGGCAACGGTCACCCTCCACAGCATCTTCGCTAAAGGATGAAACTGTAACCTAACTGGGAAGCTGAAACAATTTTTATTTTTTTTATTTTTTTATTTGTCAGACTTGAGGATCCTGCTCCTGACTTTTTCCACCTGCAGAGTTCAATTAAAGCCCATTGAAACAGCAACAAATGCTCCAGTTTTTCCTGCGTCTTGCTCCTCTGGTTCTCTCTGAGCCAGTGGCCACAACCTTATATACTGTAGTCAGTAGTTCAATCGTGGACTTGTGTGTTTCTGCGGCCCGCCCTCTCTCCCTCCTCGCAACACACACGCACGTCACTTGGATTGATGGCACTGACGTACTTTGAGTTATTTCTTTGCTGCAATAATAAAATTGCGCACACCGTTTATGCGCGTAGATTAATAAAAAACGTACATACAATGAAATAAAGATGAATAAAATGTTTTGGATTTTTTTATTCAAGAAAATGACAGATTACTACAAAATAATATCCGAGACAATGTTATTTGTTGAGACGCTTTACCAAGGTCTAGAAAGAGTTGCATGTTGTTCAAAATTTTGATTCATCGGTTAGGATTTTCATTCTTAACATATTCCAAGATTATTTTTTTTTATTGGCTTTACAAATACTTTCAATATGTCAGATGCAAATTATGCGAGTAAATATAAATGTACAAATAAAAAGCTTTGGTTTGATGACCTCAATTATTGAGCAGTGAAGCGGAAACTGAATATAAATATGGCATTAAATACTATGATAACAGCAGACAAAAACATAAATAAGTAATGGACATTCTGCCCCCTAGTGGTCAGAAGTCATCACCTACGGTAATTTATCAGGAGCAAATAATGCATTATTGACAGTGTCTGCTTGTTACTATCACTTATATTTTAGACCACAACAGCACAGTAAATGTATACATTTAACTCATCTAAATCAGCTAATCTTCGTCAAGCCAATCAGCTTTCAGCAATAAGACCGCTATACAAAATCAAAACAGCTACAGATTTATTTCAAGGTTCATGATGTAGACTTGGTGCAAACCGCAGACTCCAACACGTTCAAGGAACCCAAATTGGACCTGACAGCTGTTCTCTATGATAAAACAGAAATAGCACAGGTGAACGCACCCGGTCGGACGGTTTGGATCTTGACTCGTGTCACAACTGATGAATCACTTCTCCAAAAAAGAGATGAGGCCGGTTTTGGCCCGGCGGGCCTTCTCTATGCTCTCGTACGTCGGCGTCCCCAGAGGCAGGTCCAAACGGTCGTGCTCAGACGCCATGATATTCTCGGCCTCGCCTAAAGGTGCAACGAAACCAAACGTAAATGGAATGCGGCGTACGGATGTCGTCTTCGACCCAAACATACGACAGTCACTTTTCCTCTGTAACCCAGAAACGTTTATCAGCACTTCTGCCTCTGAAAGTCAGTATGTTTGAGCTGAACTACAATCAGTTCTTCCTGTAAGACATTTAAGTAAATTTATAAGCATTGATGATCAGTTTGGACCTTTTAATTATGCTTCTAATTCTTGTTTTTTGTTTTTTTTTCCTAACACTGGCTTACGCTTCTGAATATCCTAACAAACTTTCAAGGTTCTTAAACGTGTAAAATTTTGAAGCTGTGTCTGTTAGATCTACACAATACATTAACTATGTTATTTTTAGTTGTTATAAAAATGGTGTATATATCAAACATGACTTAAAAGAAATTTTACTCCACATTTTGATGCCTTGAAAATTAGCCTCCGTCTCTGTAAGAAGCTTCTACTCTTTCTGACATTCCGCCCTCACTATGTCATCCCAATGTTTCTCCATTATGCAGTTTACAAACGGATTTAGGAGAGCTGGACTGAAAAGTAGTTGGTATGTTGAGCTCAGCAGATTCAGGACAGACAGGAGCTTTGTGAAAGCAAGTGTTTAGGCACCCCGAATGGTTGACTGGAGGATTTATCAAACATCCATGAAAGAATCAAAGCAACACTCCAGGTATTTTTTAATAAAAACAACATTACATGATATAAACCTAAAACATGTGCCGTTTATAGATCGCCCTCTCTAAAAAAAAAAAACATTTAAAGTTGTTGTGCCATCCTGCCACCATTGACAAACAAGAGCCTGAATGATTTTAAAAACTCAAAATCAAAATGACATTTATGCTCATGACGCATGTTTGTTCATATCTCAACAGAAAAACCCAAAAGAGCATGTTTCTACATCTACATCCCAAAAGCCTCACCTCTCATCCGATAAATGAGCGTCCCATAGGCGCTGTCCATCTGATAGGCAAACACGAAACCGAGAGGAACAATCGGAGCCAACATGCCGGGTTGTTTTCTTTTAATGGCTCTGAGGATGAACAGACAAAAAGAAGAAATGTGTTCACTTTTTTTTTGGCAACACATTTTATATTCGTCATCACCCAACATCCTTAACAACCAAGCAGCTGCGTTAACTTGCGTAGGTCGAAGCAGGTTTGCTTCTCCCAGCGAAGCAAACCTGCTTCGAAGCAAACAGTGTGGCTGTTCCACCTCTCACCCTGCTGTTAGTCCCAATGTGGCCACTGCAAAGAAGGAGCCAAAGTATTTGAGAAACTCTCTGGACCAGGCAATCTGCATGGCCATCTGTCTTTCTCTCATCTGGTTCTGCATCAGGATCTGACGCTCCATCTATGCAGAAACACACAAGCATGAACAGATGCGCATGAGGAAAGAGGACGTCATTAGACACTTAAATACAAAATGAAATGTGCATAGAGAACTTTATTAACGTGAAAATAATAAAACAACATTTCAATTTTAAATCATTTGGGTTTGATCCTTTCAGAATTTATTCCCACAAGAGCTAATCTGTTGAACTTAATGCAAAAAGGCAAAAAGCTTTACGAAAAAAAAAAGTACTTTTTGATAAATCCTCTGCTGTTTAAGGTCAGATAAGATTACTGTAATTACCGTTTGGCAAAAACAAGCATGATGGGAAGTTATATGCCAACTACAAATTCTATAGTCTATAGTCTATACGACTCAAGCTTATTGAACTCTGTATCTACTCTATTCTTAAATAAAAATAAGGATCCAGGACTAGGCGGTATGGCTTAAAAGCCAATTTCTGATTTTAATGGACATGATTCATCACTTTTTTGTTAAAAAGAAATAAGCAATGACAGAAAATAATAAAAAAAAATAGGCTTTCAATCATTCCCTCTGTGAGTTGACCTGAATTTAAACTTGAAATAAATAGAAGATGTGAAACACGCCTAACAAACAAGATGCTCTCCTGATGCTTTCCTGGGTGGGCCAACATCTACGCAACTACGCAAACCCAAGGAGCGCATTAGTAAAAAAAATAAAAAATAAAAAAAATCCAGATTTTCCAAAAATTAAATCTTCAAAAACAAAAAATTTGATTACTTGATAAAAATTAGCTCATTTCCCAATCCAGACGTATCATATCAAAGGCTTATAGGACAAGTTTCTCTATATTTTTGCACATTCTAAACTTGAAACTATAGAAGGAGTCTGCCATGTCAGACGCTGCCGGGGTTAAATCAAGGTGGAGCCAGTCAGTCAGTCCAGGGTCAGGAATGCTGCATCCATGCTGATTAACCTCAGGAAGGTCAAAGCTTTGTTTTTAGCTTCCTGTTCGACACACACACACGCACACACTCAGAGCCCGACTGAGTCACATTCTCAGTTAAAAAGCCTTTTATTTCCCAAAAGTGAAAGTGTCAAAGATGAGTTTTTGTTTTCAGCCACCAGGAAAGTGACTCTGACCTGCTGATGATACAAAGCTGGCATTCAGCTGAGCTTGACAATGTATGTGAAAATTGTCAATTGGACCGTTTCCCACAAGCTGTTGATTTGACAAATTTACACCGACAGGTGTCAAATAAAATTGCACAATTAACACAAAAAGATTTTCAAGTCATAAGAAGAGACATCTAATTTTTGGTGAAGAAAACAAGGAGGATGGGGGGGGAGGGGAGAGGAGACATGGGACAAATGAAATAAATTGAATTCTTAGGAAACTGAACAAAACTGGGGCGTTTGTTTGAATGAGTCAGAAGCAATTTAATAAGACTTTATGAGGGAGTTGGCTACACTTTGATTCACTCCCAGCATGAAATGTCTTTAACTTGTCAAACGCCAGGCAAGGCCACTCAGTGCCTTCCTCAGGATGACAGTAGGCATGATAAATAGCCTGGCAACCCGTCATCAGCCACATCGGTCATTTCGCTGAAACTAAGGTCCTTAGCAAGTCGAACACATTCAGTCTCGCAAAAACATTCATTCGCTTTGAATTTCTTCTTTTGTGATCAATATCCCACCCCCTTAACTCTAATTCCTTAAAATAAAATCTACAGCAAACAAGAGTCTTTATAAGCAGTGAAAAACATTTATTAATTCCAATTTACTTATTAATCCTTGAGGTCGTTAGAGAAAATCAGGGAACAAAGTAAAAAAATATTGCCTTTATGAAAAAAAGAGAAGGAAGAACCTTCAGCAGATTGGTGGAAATTTTTGTCAAACTACCTCAAATGCTAGGTGGTGAATGCATAATGCCTATTGGTGCATTTTTAGCACATATCAAAGATCTTACTGTAAATACTTTGCATAAACTGAATGTTTGAAGTTCTACCTAAATATTCCTAATTTACCTTCAAAATACTTTAATGCATGGATTTTGTGCTACATTCAAATTAATCTACAGTCCAAAATTCTAATTTTAATGTTGATTAAAATGCACACCACACTTATCAGATCTTATATTTGTACAGACTATGAAAACTGCGACTTTCCCTCCATTTAACAATAATGCAGCACTTTGTATTGGTCTATTGCATACAGGGAAGTTTGTTGGTTGTCACATGAAATGTGGAAAAATGTTCAAAGGGTATCAAACCAAAAATACAGATGCTTTTTAGAAAGTGGCCTTATTTCTGTTGGTTTATGTGGCCTGGCCTCTTCTGCAACATTAACCAGATTTTGTCAGGTGATCCAGCTCCTTTTGTGCATTTCCATTTCTACCTGAACTCCAATTTTTTTTTTCATGTGAGAAAACAAAAAAGGTCCCTGCTGGTAAAGACATGACGCGTTTCCTGAAGGAGGCCAGGTGGGTTAATTACAGACTTAAGTAAACTAACGCTAGTTAGCTTTGGCAAACAGAGAAACTACTCAGCAAAGTCAACCTGTAATCATGAGGCCAAAGCGTCACTTCTGGGTAAAATTACAGTCTGAGCTACTTGCACTCACAAAGCGCAATCAACTCTTAAACTGAATTAATTGTATTTTCCTTAAATATACGGTTGGACTGAATGCTCAGAGTATGATCAGCTGCTGTGAGTTTTATATTACTTTAACCAACAACGGTCAAATGTGGCAAAACAAAAGTCCTACGCAAGGAGTTTCAGGAAGTCTTGAGAGTTTTGCAAAGGCAATAAACATACAGATGCATCACCAGGACTGATTGTGAGTGCTTAAGTCTTTTCATTACACTCTGCAGGAAAAAAGACAACATTTGTTTAGGCATTACTTTTTCGAAAGTAATGCTTTAATACGCGCAAACGCTCTCAATGTTGCAGAGCAACAGAAACGTCATGGAGTCAAGTCTAATATTATGACTTCAGAGTTCAGCGAAGAAAAATGATAACATCAAAATCTCCACGAGAAAACAAGAAGTCATGAAGGGGAAAGAGATGTTGATGCTCATTTCTTTCTGATGCTTTCTATTTCTATCTAAAAATCAGAAATGTTTTGCCTTAGTTCGCTTTGCATCGCTTCCAAATATTTGACAAGCTGGAGAAATGTTTTATTTTATTTTATTTTATTTTTGTATGAATGTTAACTGGAAAGATTACAAGATCCAGTCCCCTGAAATTATCCATATAAGAATTACACTTTACAAGTTTCCATTAATTTATGGCAGACATTTCTCCAGTGGGAAGTGTTTGGATATGGAGTTTGGAGTGAATGGATAGTGGATAGAAGGAAGGAAGCAAAGAAAAAAAGTTAGGAGGATACAAAGAAGGGAGGCAGAATACAAGGTGATGACAAAACAGAAGGAAGGAGGAAGGACACAAAGAAAAGACAAAAAGTGAAATTATGAATGAAGTAAGAGGGAAGAAAACAAGGATAGAAGGAATGAAGGACACGCAGAAGGAAAGAAGAACACAAAGGAGAAGGTAGACAGTGAAGGAAGTGAAGGAAGGTCATTTGACAGGAAGGACGACACAATGGAAAAAGCCGAAGGGAGGGCAGCAGGTAACACGAAAACGACAGAAAAGAAGCAATGACACGGGGGAGAAAAGACAGCAGGACACAAAAGAGGAAAGAAGGAAGTTACCGTAAAGAAGAACATGAGGACGAAACTGAGGAAGGAAGAAACAAAGAACAGAAGAAATAAAGGAAGGCTAACAAGAACACTTACAAGGATGACAGGAAAGACACAAAGAATCTTAGGAAACATTAAGTCTGTGGGAAATGAACAAAATCTGGAAACATAAATAGCTTTACACACTTTAGCAATGTTTCAAACGTTAAATGAGCTAAATAGCTTACATCGAATAAAAGCATTAGTCACAGTTACACTTACTGAAAAAGATCCCTAGAGGGAAACATGGCCATTCAGAGTCAACGCCTGACTACTATGACTGTGACCTGGGAATGACTGGAGGTTTTAACCATGTGTTTTTTTAGGAGTTTCAGCAGAAAGTTTCACACCTCTATTAAACGTGAAACCAGCGCTCGGAATCCACTGATAGCACCAGCGACACGTGCTGACCTCACCGATGACTCGTTCCAGGAAGTGGGAACTTACAGCAGCGTTAGAGCCGAGCGCTCCGGTAGCGAGAGACGCTCTCGTCTCGGCTGAGTAATGTTTCGAAGCAGAAACCCGCTGAGGCAGAAACTAATACGAGTCGGTGGTTCTAGAAAGTGATGATGGTGCACATTAATGAGAACAGAAACCATGAAATGACCCAGGTGGATGCATTACACTTAACTGTAGAGAGAAAAGTCAAGTAGAGTACTTACTGATTTTTTGTTGAATCTGAAACAGACTGCAAAGACTAACTTAGGTGAACGAATTCAGCCACTGCTCAAACAACTGCTTGGTAAAAGTCAATAAGGAGCCCATTTGGGGTGGGGTCCAGTTAGCATCCTTTTGATCAAGATGCCTCAACTTTGACTTTGTGTATATTAATGTCTAACTCCAAGTTTATCTGCAGAGCACATTTCAGCAGCTCAAAGTGATTTACATAGAACAAAAGTCTGTGCAAAAAGAAACAAAAAGCCTGCTTCTGTAAAACATAAGATGACTATGTGGAAAATAATCCTAAGCACATATGGAGGAGGAACTGTGATGCTGTGGGCCTGTTTCCCATCCAAACAGACTTGGAACATTGTTAAAGTCCTTGGCTTAATGACTGTTTAAAATATGTCACAGCTTTTTGAATATCTGGTTGCTTCAAACAAGAAAACCCAAAATTAGCTCATTATTAGATCTCCAATGCTTCTTTAGACACAAAGTTTAAAGCATTCTACCAGGACCTAAGTCCAATAAGAAACCTGTGGGGTGAGCTGAGGAGAGGCAAACGTGAAAGACATGTCAGAACCGATCTGAAGAGAGCTTCTTCACAGCAGGAGTACAGCCCAGCCATTGTCTTATAACACTCAAAGGATTTTCTCAAGATAAGCATTGGAGTTTCCTGAATCTTTCAATGAGTGATGATGCAATAAAAGTCGGGTTTCCTTCTGAACTCTTTACCGACAGTGCCAGTAAATATGGAACGGTGTTACCGAAATGGCAGTTTTAACTTGATGACATCTTAGTTGTTCTGAAAACTTTGATGAGAATTTAATTCGATATGCGTTCTTGGAAACGGGGCGAAACATTCGCTGGCGACATCACAGAGCATGACAAAGTGGTTTTGAGAAAGGCCACACAAGCCGAGACAGTGACTGGAAACGGCAGTGAAGAAAAAGTGAAAAGAAGAAATGAGACATGAATCCAACCTGAAGGTGGCAAAGTGAGAAGAAAATGAAGCTAAATCCAAGCCAGAAACTCACTGACATTTATAAGGGCTTCAGCCAGAATCAAATTCGGGCAAAAGCTTGAGAAAAAAAAAAATGTGCAGAAATCATCACAAATCAGCCTAGATATTCACACTTCACTGTAGCAGCTGTTGGGAGGGGAAGTCAGACAACACCACAGAGGGAAGCACACTCAAAACAAGTAGCACCTACATACGATCGATGATTGCTTTTTATGCCACACTGATAAACTCACATATGTGGCAACCTGGAATAACTAAGTTTCAACGCAAAGTTTTAATCAGCACATCTCATAGATCTCAGATTAGTTTAGTTTAAGGCTTTTTCTCTCCAAATAACACCACACAGAAGAAGAATTTACGGAAATACATGAGCTCCCGAGGTGATAACACACTTTCCAACAAACATATTGGGACATATTAAGTTAGTCAGGCAAACTACACCGGAAATGATCTTGATCAAACCAAACCTGTCAACTGCAAATGCACAATACAAGAATTGTAGGAGTGGATGCGACAATCAAATACCTTATCATGGAAATCACACCTAAAAACACTTTCCATTTTGAGCGGTTAAACACAAAGAAAATCCACAAAACCCCACGGGGTTCATGCCAACTTCACCCACAAGGAGATTCCAACCCACAACCTTTTTACACTCGACCACTGCACCATCATGCTGCCCCCTGCCACAATCTATCATGTGCTCAAAGAATACAGAAGCAACTCAACGAAATTCCTGGAGGGATTACATTTCAGGGAGGCTTCTCAGTAAGATGCGAGCAGAAGTTTACTCTCTGCAATTGTGCAACTCGGTTTCCAAATGCTCTTTGTGTAACTTCTCTACTGGCCTCAAGTTGACATTTACGTGCTGTCCCAACAAAATGGAGAGGCGTTCTTCCTCTTCGGTAAAATTATTAAGAATAATACAAACAAGTTCCACCCTCATGACCCGGCAAAGACAGAGAATGTAAAAATGAATGAATGGAAATCCTACTAAAACTCTAAATAACATCTACAAACTAAAAAAGTTGCAAGGCTGATTGTCTGCACCTCACTAAAAAGGATGCAGCATTTTGAAATAAAAAAAAAAAAGCACATCAGTGGAGCAAAACATGGGCAGCTTTTCAAAAGGAATCAAGCTGGGATCTAATATCCAGTGTTCTTTACGCCGCTTCAAGGCTTTTTTTTTTATTTTTTATTTTCAAATTAGTAAACAATGCAGAGTGCAAGGCGAGACCTTAGCTCACCTCCACGCTCACATTAACACAAAACATGGTAGAGAAGAACTGCTCCAGCCAGCAGCCAAACATTTTCCAGAAAAAAAAAAAAGACAATACCTACGTCATTCCATTGCTTGCATTAGCTTTAAAGGCATGCGTCAGAAAAATCAGACCAATATCCAGTAAATGTTATGGTGGATCTCTGGAGGCCATTATTCAAACACAATGACCGAGTAGCTTTGACTTAAGGCAACGGCACGACAGGGATCAATTAGCCGTGACCGACGGGACGTAAAAAAAAAAGACAAAGACATTTTTGACATCTTAATGCAGGGGGAGGCAACGACGTAGCTTTGTGTAGACATTTTAAAACGACAAGGGTCACTCTGACTTATTCAATTAGGCAAATTAAATTTCAAATATAAAGTAGTTAAATTATTTCATATCATTGACCAGTAAGAGCTCTCACCCTCGGTGACCCAGGACAGTTTTACTGAATGTTTCATCTACTCCACATTTTTATTTATTTTTTTTATTACGTTGCTTAAAGTGTGCAATTAAACTGTATAGAAAGTGATTCTGAGTGTGTGAACTATAAAAACTGAAAACTCTGCATTGAGGCTATGAAACAATGCAGAGCCACTTCAGTAATGCATAAATATGCACCTAATATCCCTCAATGAATCACCTTCAGGACTCAGATGAGGGTGCCGTGAAATTCAATTGCCAAACCTTTGGCATCGCTGTATTGTGTTGTATTAGTCATCATCTTCCACGTTTAAAGCTGGGAAAAAAAAAAAAAAAAAACTGAGAAGATTTCAGGTGCAGACCACAGAGAGACCCTTTTGGGTGTAAATTTTATAATTTTGTTGACATTATGACACTCACGAATCCCACCTGCTGCTCGACGGCTTGCAGGCATGAATGAATCAAACTAAATTATCTCTAATGGAGAACATGGGAGGGGAGGGGAATAATATTTTGTTTGAATTAAAAAAAAAAAAAAACAGAACAAAAAATAATAACGAGAGCAATAAAATCCTGTTTCCTCCAGATGGAAATACGAGGAAAGCGTTGAAACGGTGGGTTTGTGACTCATAAGCAAAACAGAAACGCCCGACGGACAAGACAGGTCAGTGTTTCATTCTGATGTATGGATGCAACATCTACCCAAGCATCCATGCCGTCATATTTTGAGTACGTTATTTAATAAATCCAGGAAACATCATGAATATTCATCCATCCTATCCTAGAAGGTATTTGCATTCATCTCCCTTTACTCTGCTATCCCTAAATAAAATCTAGAGCAACGAATAAGCTCCTTCATTTATGTTTCTTATTTTAGAAACAATAGAATAACAGAATGATTAAAACCAAAGAACACAGACAGGTAAGGAATACATTTTCATAGGCAATTATAAATGGTCTAGGTTACAAAATGTTCACCTCTGTATCACGTCCGACAGCCCTGTGGAAAGAGTAGATGCCTTACAATCTGAAAGTTAAGGGTTTAATTTCAGTTTCCTCCAGTCACATGTTGATGTGGCCCTGGCACCTAAACCAAAGCCAATCTGTGTATTGGTATGAAGGTGCGACTGGTAAATGTGGCTCTAAAGCGTTTTATAAATTCAGTCCATTTACAACTGTTCGAACAGTAACGGAGGCTTTTTACCTCATGAGTGGATATCTCTTATTGCAGGTTTACAGAAGGTTTGGTGAAATATAAATTAAAATAACATCGTGTTGCTGCCCTGCCCATTCTCATTCAGTTACTTTCAGAAACAACGTCTTGTCTCATCCTTGAAAGGATACAGGCAGAATAGCAGCGACAGACATGATGAGACCAAGGATCTTCTCCTAACACATTATTCAAATGTTCGACTTGGTGATGCATCCATCTGCTGCATTATGATTAAATCGTCAGTGCATGAGCATGGTGACGCATCCTGCTCAGCAACGACTAAGACTAGAAGAACCTAAGCAAATATCTTAACTTTTCTGGATATATATGTGAAAGGTATACATGTTATATACGTATAAGTTTGTTAAAAGACAAGAAACACAATTAAGGAGAACATGGGCCTGCTCATGAAAATGGCACAGATGAAAAAGAGGAGACACATTTGCCATTCACGTCAATTTGAGATGCACTTTTCTGTGCACCTTTCAGTAGCAATTTTGCTAGAACTCAGGCTTCTCATCTGGCTTTTTAGTCAAACATTGCACATGTGACTCATTTAGAAGATTCACTTTTTTGTTTCTCAATATTGAAAAACACTTACTCTATTAAAAATATAAGACGGTATGGAAATATTTTATAGCTAATCGGTGTAACTCATGACCACCAACCTGAAGCAGTCCGCAACGACTTTAATTAATGAACTGATGCATCCGATTAAAAATTTAACAACCAAACTCCTTTAAAGTACAGTACCAGCTTTTAATGGCGTTGGAGTCACCTTGACTTACCTGCAACCGTGAATTGTGAAGCATGAACTCCTGCTGCTTTTGCAAGTTTGCGTCCATGGATTTAGACATGAGAAAGCCCATGTTTGAAACTGAGAAGTAAAACATAGAGAAAGACGAAAAGTTATTCTGCAACTGAGACAAAAGCAACATTTTTTTTTTCATATTACAGTGGCCTTGCCAGTGCTACAGAGCAAATAAGTCCTTGTTTAGCATGGGGTTAACTACAGTCCTATGCTTTAATTAACCCAACAAGCAAATATAAGCACATTCGCTTACAGTTTCTACTATAAAACCGAGTGATCTGCATTGTGCATTGCTAAAACACTTGAGACAGTTTCATGTATATTATTTCAGTTAACTCGGCAAACAAATGATAGGAGCTAATATGGCTAACCTAATTAAATAGCTTATTCTGTTCCTCCTTAAAAGATTTCGTTTAAATCCATTACGTTTAAGTTTTGGCTAACTATAAATAAGAGTTTTACATACCTAGAATACTTTGAGATGTAAAAGTAACAGGAATTATATTACAAACAGAGAAACATTCAAGGGTTTTTATGAAAACAAAGGCAACGTGAGCTGCGGTTCTAGAAACGGAAGTTTATTAATGCCTTACTTCCGGGTAGATCTTCAAAATAAGTTGCATATTATTGTTTTTATTCGTTTTAGTTAACTTAGAGATGTCGGTTTTATAAATAACAAAAGCTATTTTTCAGTTTCTGCACAAATTAGAGTTAAAGGTGGATTAAATCTGTTTGCCAGCTGCTGTTATTATTTTGTGTGCAGTAGTGTCTCACACTGCTGCAGAGAAAAGACAGAGAAATGGCTCCCTCTGTTGAAAAGCAAGGTTTTTAAAGATTATATATATATTTTAAAAATCTAAACTAAGAACCTGAAGAAAAAAATATTTATACATTTCCAGAAATGAGAAGGAAATATAAATAAAAAAACTGAAGATATATAGAATTTCTTCCAAGTCTACAACACATTTTACACTCTATGTATGTTATGGACATATATTGAGGCTAAAAAAGAGACTACACCTTTTGATAGTTCTATTATTTCTAGGGATTTATGTATTAGAACATAATAAAATCAATTTGTTCTCTACCGACATCAAGAGTAAAAACACACAAATACTTCCATAATTTCAACATTTATTAAAAAAAGATTTAGCCCGCAAGTACGTCCTAGATTCATCCAACTTAAGCAGAATAACTCTTCTAGACAAAACAAAGTCAAATTTCTTACCTTTCATTGGGACTGTAAAAAAAAAGGAAAAAAAGGGGGGGAAAATTACAAAAAAATCTTACCAGGACTCTTTCTGGTAGCATCATTTAACATTAACATCTGAAATTAGCAGTTTCCACACAAGAGTTTCCACCCATCTCAGAAACCTTCCCTGTTGTGACGGGTATCATTTTGCCTTGAGTCACAGGGGGAGGTAGCATTAACAACAATAGCTTTCCAGGAGGTACATTGAAAAATGGTAAAGGATTTTAAACTCTGAGATAACATTAGAACTGATAAAAAATCAGACACAGACTATTACCAACCTGGAAGGAAGATTGTTGTGTACCTGCATGGACAGGAAGAAAAAATAAATCACTGGCAAACCCACAAAATTTTCCTCAGTCACATTGTAAAGATATCATAGTGATATGTGCCAGAGATAAACAGTTAAATTATCACATACCTTTCTTGCAGAACAGGTGGGAATTCCACTTGGCTGGCAGCAAGGCTGTGGATGGAAACTCAGGGTTATTTAAATTTCCTGTTTTTTTTTTGTTTGTTTGTTTTTTTGGAGATTACATCTTGTGAACGTGTACGTATTGTTTTGGGAACATTGTTGTTCTGGATTGTACATTTAGAACTGCATTTGCATATAGTGCTTGAAAAACCACAAATTGTTTGCTATATGGCACAAGGTACAACAAAAGAAACAAAAGAAAGATATAAATCAACAAATTATTTATTCAAAAAGTAGCCAACAGCTTTCACTTTGTCTCCTTAAACCAGGGATCTAGATATTTTGATCAACAGTTCCAGCTGGTTTGTCTAATTTATTTACTGGTCGTTTTGGTCATTTACCTATTTTAGCAGTTCTGATGTTTTCTTATTCAACGTTTCCACACTCAGTTACCTTCAGGGGACAAAATACATTTGTGCAGTGGAAGATTTGATGGAGACAGAAAAAGATACGTTGATTCAACTTTTTAAATAAACATGAGGCAGTCACTGGCAGAAAGATAGCTACATAGTTTTCAAACAGTCTCTAAAGCACTGTCCCTCCTCCACATGCTGCTGCTCACTGCCAATCAGCTGGCTGACCCTTACAAGTCAGCTATTTCGAAATATAAATGGCAAAAAAACAGAGTCATGGTGAGAAAACCACAAGTGCACCATGCACCCATGTGGTATTTCTATTACTAAGTGATATACTTAAGTGGAGGTCCTGCCTGTTGCCTACCAGAGCTGATAGTTCAATATTAACTTGTAAAATCACCTTGTTATTCTTCTGGACTTACTGTATCCTTGTATATTCACCTAGTCATAAGACAAATCGAATAGCTTCAGTTTTGAGTGAATATATGAACACTGAAATTAATGTCTGTGTTAATTTTTACTTTTGTTTTTATTCTTTTAAGTTATTTACTGTAGGTGAGTTTTTATTATATTACTTTACGTGCGACATAATTTGATTCACAGTTAATTAAAGAAGCTCCTGGTTGCTCATGTTGGTGAGAAATTGGTTACGGTCTTATTAAAGAAAAACAAAAACAAAACAAAAAAAACGCGCTGTCACTTTTACGGTAATGGTGATTGGGCTGGCTTTAAAAAAAAAAAAAAAAAAAGGAGAATCCCGAGACACCACTCGAGAACGTGGGGAAAAACAGGGTATAAAACGCACACTGAGTCAGCCGCGTCTCATTTCTTCACGCCTTCACAGCTCCTGGACGCTTTTTTACGCCGTTGCCGATTAGGGAGAGCTGCCAGTTACGGTGGAAACTGCGCGTCTTCAACTCGCTGTCTATGGTAGGTCCTCCGTAGTAAAAATATGTAATTCGGTCTTTATATCTACATAGAGACACGTTTAAATACTTCTTTACAGCGTTTACTTACAGCTTTACAATTTTTCCAAACACAGTGAACACATAGTATGTAGTAATATTTGTGAAGTCGCTGATGAGCAGCACGCTTCAACTTTATTCATGTGACTGAGTTAAGTTAGATAAAGCCATGTGATGGGGTGGGTTACTTTAGGAGGAGGAACCTCCTCTTTATTAGAACCGCTCGGAGAGATTACTGGAGCATTTAGACGTGAAGGAAGAAGGAAAGAGTACATGACAATACAAAAGGTTGATTGTATCAGTCTGCAGGTAGGACAGCAATTTGAGTATTAATCTGTTTATAGCTTTCAATTTATTTATTTTTTTTTGCTTTACTTAGCCTTGATTAGTAGTTGCAGCTACCTATTTTTATTATTCATATAGTCATACTAGAGTAATACAAAGGGAATATTTAAAGTAGTAGTAGTAGCTTAACTATAGTATGTTTTAAAATATTTTAAAGGTTAGTTATTTGTTTTGTTAGCACTACCAACATTTCTTTTTTATTTATTTATATTTTTACAAATTTCCTTTTATGGATGGCATGTGTTTATACTCCATGATAACTTATCTAGGTTTTTATGCTGTCTTGATAAGTCTGGACAAGTAGAGGATTTACATTTACATCTCAACTTGATTTTACTATTTACAGTATTTTGAGTTTTCAAAAATAAGAAAAAGCCATGATGCCACCTGCTAATGAATTGCAGGTACCAACTTTTACCAACGGTGCTTTAAAGAATCTGCATTAACTGTCTGATAGTCCAGTCCTTATCTGATAAGTCAGAAAGTTAGCCGAGACCCAAAGCCAATTTCGGCTTATGTTGTTAAGTCATTTATGGAAGTCATAGGTGGTTAGCACTAAAAATGTCATACCCTTTCAGTTTTACTATTTTGTAAAATATTTCGTAAAACATATTCATGGCAAAACCAGATAAGACAGCTCACTGTGTGAAAATATTTTGCTGTTGCCATGAAGTTCTTCGTTATGAATCATCCTGCCGAAGAAACATGATGTTACCCAGAACTGAACACACATATTTGTATTTTTTGTGGTTTCCTGATGTCATCTAAAATAAATTGCCAGACAATAGGTTTATTTGCAACAGCAAGAGCTTAGTCATACTTAGGTCAGTGATGAAAAAATGCATATCTCAGCATCATGTGTTGTTGATTATTTGAGTGTCATGCACTTTACCAGAATGTTCAGCTGAGCTGCATCTGCAAAGTGTCTTGTGATTATCTGTGACCAAAAGTTTTCAATATTTTGTTTACACTTTTTTTTTTCCATTCTCAGATTTCAATGGACTTGGTCATTATTGTAGCTCTTGTAGTTCTGCAAGTGTCTCTGCAGCCATCTCTTGCAGGTGGGTAGTAACTATAAACTTGTGCAACACGAGGAAAGCTTTCTGTTCCAATTTGACACTCAAGCTAACTTAAATCTGCAAAGCAAGCTTATCACTTAAATGAAACTGAGGTTTACTATGCGTGTATGCCATGCATTTTGTGCCAAGTTTATCCTAAAACATCTACTACACATTATTGTCTTGCAGCCTTGTTTACAGTGGAGGCAGAGCACACTTCATATAATTCTGAGTATGGAGGAAGTGTTGTGATGGGCTGCAGGTTTTCTTCCAAACCAGCAAATCCTCAAAATGACCTCAAGGTTATCTGGCACTTGATGGACGCCGGTCCGGATCAGGAAGTGATACGGCTAGTTAACAACTTGGAGAGCTCTGTGTCTTCAAAGTTCAAGGGTCGAGTGAAGCTTCTCACCGATGAACTGAAAAATAGCTGGGCAAAGATACAGGTATTTCTTCTTTTTTATTATTTATTTACTTCATATGAACTATACAAACACACTGGTGTAGACCAGATGCGATGTAGTTTAAGCATTGTAGCAAACGTGCAATTTTTTTTAATGCCTGGCCACAAGAAGCTTTTCTCTGTATAAAAAGAAAAATCAAATGTTTCTGGCACCGAATCAGTTTCCGTTAACCAGTGTCTACAAAACAATCGTCAGATGACTGATGAGACATTTGGGAAATTTCTTGATGCCACGTTACTTGTCTGTTTGAACTTGCCAACATATTTTATGGTGCTAAGAATAACTGACGCTGAAGTTTGTTGTTTCTTAATCCTGTTAGGGCAATATGTGCATTAGAAATATGCAACACAAGCTTGTGATCTTGTTTTGTTGTACTTCATTAAACGCTTAGAGACAGAAGTAGAAATGCAGTTATGATTCAAGCTCATTTGAAGTAGTTTGTCTTATGGTATATAAACATGTTTTTTTTCCTTCCATCTCACTTCACAGATATCAGATCTCAGGATCACTGACTCTGGGATGTATCAGTGTTTGGTTCAAACAACAGAAGGGACCGATTATAAAACTATAACTTTGTCAGTTGGAGGTAAGATCATGGTTTGAGTCCGTTGCAATGTGCATTTTTTGTTCATTAGCACATAACTTTTGTTCCAGGAATGGTCTTGCTCATTGACTGTTGCACATGGTCATTTCTGGGCAGTTAAGAGTAAAACTCATTTTGAAAGTGAAACTAAACCCATCACTGTTCAGTTTAATAGAGAGAAACCTTGAGAACTTATCAGATGCAGTTCCTTGCAGAAGTATTCACATGCCTAAAACATTTTTTTTAGACTTTATTAGGATTTTGTTTGATCTTTCAAGCCAAAAAAATGCAAAATTATGAAATCAAAGGAAAAGTAGGTGTGTAATGACAATATTGTAACAAACAAAAATGTGCAAAGTCCGACATCTTCTTGTATCCTGTGCCTCCAAAGCATAAATATGCTTTCATTTAAGCCAATCCATTATATCTGAACCCAAACAACATTTGAATTCTTGTTTACATTATTTATTCTAATAAAAATGTTGCTAATCTTAATTTTTTTATTCTTTTCTAGCACCATATCACTCGATCTCAAAACAGATTGAGAGGACGGCAGAGGGGGATAAAGTGGTGTTGACCTGCCAGTCTGAGGGATACCCTATGTCCCCCGTTGTGTGGCAGGATGAGCATCTGCAGAGTTACATTTCCAACACCACGACGACAACAACGCCAGACGGTCTCATTAAAGTCGTCAGTCAGATTGAAGTCAGCTCTTCAGAGAAAATAAAATACACATGTAACTTTACAAAAGACCACTCGTCTGCAACATTTCACATTCCAGGTAAATTCTTAACATTTGTGAAGGTTTTTTTTTTTTTTTTTTTAAGATCGTGCTCAAAGAGCTTGCTTCAGAAAGGTGCTAAATGGCAAAAGAATCAATTCTATAAGACGTTTATGTCTTATAGAAAATTTACTGACTCTGAAAACCAACAAGAAATGATATAATCTCCAGTTTCCCGTTTTGTGCATGCTTCCCCTCCCTTTATTTATATCTGAAATTAATTCTCAGCCTCCCTCAAGTCGACATGAAAGCAAAGCTGTCTTTGCACCTACCTACAGTGGCAAAGAGATACGAGAATTACCCCCTTCTTTTTACTGCTACTGTAGGTGTTTTGGAACAATTCAACATCGTGTAGAGGTGTTTGGAAAAAAAAAAATCTTCAGATATTTTTTTTTTCTTTTGATATACGGTCTGCTTTTTAGTTTCACTGGAAAGTGTATTCTAAAAGATTAGAGGCAGAACTTGATCAGCTTAAAGTAGAGAGGATCCAGTATTCTTTAGGAAACAATGAAAACCGCCAACAAAAACAGTAAAAGTAATCTGGAAAGTTCTTTTGAAGCTCAGCACAAATACTGTTGCATAAGGCTAAACTATTCCTACTTCACAGCAACTATTAGTTTTGCTTTTGTCCACTATGGGGAAGTCTGTTGCAATTTGTTTTTGGTAAATTTGGTTCTTTCCAAAGTGGTTAAAAAAAAAAAAAAAAAAAAAAAAAAATCTGTGGACATCAACAAAATGTTTGCATACAATGGCTGTCCGAGATGAATATAATAAAAGAGGTTGCTCTATATTTTCTCTCTTACTACAGATGATATACCGCCCCGTCAAGGAGAAAATGACATCCTCATCGTTGTGTTGTGTTTAGGATTAGTACTGACTGCCACTGGTCTTGGAGTGGTCATTTACAGACGCCGAAAAGGTAACTACCTGCTTATTCTATTAAATACAGAACCAAAACTTATGTAATTTATTAGTATTTTTGTCAACATTACATTGTCAAAAAATGGTCATCCATCCATCCATCCATCCCTCAATCTTATCTTGGTCGTGAACTCTGGGTTTTTTCTCAGGACATCCTACCACTGTTTTCTTTTTTTTATTATTTGTTTTGCAGCTTAGTGAGAAATCCCTGCCTACATTTATAATGTAATCACTAAAGTTTTTTAATTTGTTGGTTTGCAATGCTACCATCTGAAAAAAAAAAAAATCTACCAAAAACGAGACAGTATGAATAGCAATATAAATCATTATTTGCAGCACATTCTACAAGTGTTTAGATTTTGTTCATAAGCATTTGCACATATATTACCTCACCATATAATTCCGACCACTTTTAAGTTTCAGATCACTGTACAGTTACTGAAGAAAGTATTTGTGAAAATCTGAATATTCTCCTGTTGAGTAACATCTACCTTTTTTTAAAGGAAGCATCAGTCTGAAAAAAAAAAAAAAAGCTAATAATTTTCCACATTTGGGAATTTTAAATGCCTTTGCAAACATAGATAACTTGTGAAAGAAAGTAAAACAAAAAGTGATACACAGATCTAGAAGAGACGCATAACAGACATGTGGGAAAGGGAAGCATCACTGGAGTCTGACTTTCACATTGGTTCTTTATTTAGCTTTGCTGCATTGCTAGAAAATTCTGGAGTCTCTCTCTCATGGTTTTAGTGTTTGACCTAAAAGCTCAAACAACCTGACATTACTGCCAGTGCAGTTCGCAGCATTTTTTATATCCTTCCTGTTCCGGAGACATGCCACCTAACTTTAGTTCCGTCGCTAAAGAGATGAAGAAAAAAAATCAACAACCATAAAACATTATTTCAACGAGAAATATAACTAGTTTTTTTTTTTTATTTTATTTTTTTTATGTATGGCGATGGCAATGCAATTTCCACTTGAAAGAAGAAGCGTTTCTCAAAATGTTTTTGACGATCTCATGCTTGATTTAGCGCTGTACCTTTTGTAATTTAAATTGAGTGGAATTTCACCAGCATGTGACATGTTGTGTTTATACAAGTCATGTGAGCATGACTTTGCTTTTTTTATTGTTGAAGTTGAGGACTTCATGAATCTGCCTGGAATCACCCAGCTTGGTTTTCATCTGCTAAAAGGGAAATTCACAGCTATTTGTGAATGCGTGGGTGCTTTTTGGGTCCAGCGCTTGTTCACCTCATCATCCAAACTAACACCCCCTTCACTTGTACACTTATTACACACACTTTCAGATAAACGATCGGGCTAATCTGACAAGAAATCCTGTTTGAGTTACGGGTATAGAAATCTCTGAGTGATTAAATTCAGGAAACGTCAGCATTCTCAGAATATTGTTTTCACACAAAGTGTTAACTATGTAAATCAGAGACGGAAAGAAAAATGAAGTCATGCTCTTGGAATAACACCTTAACATTATCATACAGCACCTTCCACATTTGTTGGCATCACTATAAAAGTGTAACAAGTCTTAAAATAAGAAAAGAAATCCCAAATTAAGAAATAATTATTTTTTAAAGACACTATGGCTTTATCTTGAAGCCATTTCTTAATTTCTGCTTGACATAAGTACAAGTTCTTGTGTTTCCCTCTTTGTTTAGTAGCTAAGAGAAACTGGCCTATTGTTACATATTTGTACCTCAAAGTAAAAGGATGTTATGTTATAGTTCCTAAATACTCTGATCCACATTTAAAAGGAAACGGTTGCAGTGAAAATGATTCAGCTACATTTAACTGAATTGTTAAGATTACGAATAAGTGTGGAAACCAATAATCTTATTAGTTACTTAATGTCTGGATTTTTCCTACATTTTCATTGTGAGATTATAATAATGCAACAAAAGATAATTTAATCATCTTTACTAAGGTTAGCATAGCATTTTTTGAAAAGTGCTGCGGTTTGTTCCTAAACTTCAAATTCCAAATTTGTTAAATGTGTAGCAAGAGAAATGAACAGAAAACACACTGTAAACCGTCAATTTAAAGCTAATATGTCTTATTTCAATGTTAATGTGCTGCGTTATGGTTTTAGAGGCAGACAGACCATCCACCGTTTTTTTCTTTGTATTCATGCTTTTGTATATTTTTATCAAACATTTTGCATCAACACACTAAATCAAAGGTCCCCTTGTTTTACAGGTGCCAGAACTTCCAGGACCCATAGCTGCCTGGCCGGTGATGAGGAGTCCACGTCTGCAGCTGCCTGTAAGTCTGAACAGCTCCATTCTTCTGCACCTGAACAACAACTTTACTACCGTTTAACAGCTACAAAAAAGTCCATTGAAGTCAAATCACTGATATATTAGATCCGTTATACGTTTACACTAATGATGATTAAATTAATTGGCAATTATTAACTCTGGAACTGATTAGCTGAGCGGTTAAATAAGTCCCCTGTTTTCCTGACATGTTAATTTCCCCTCAGGCCTACAGAAAGAAAAAGGAAACGAAGTTGAGGAAATAGTTATTACTGAAGGTAAGACGTGACGCTGATTTACGATACTGCTGTGTTGTTTGATGTCGGTTTCTTGTTGTCCACAGTGATATGGTCCTCTACCATCATCACTGCCTTTAGGTTCCAGTAAAAGCCTTTAGAAGAGAAAACATCTAAAAAAAAAGAAAAAAAAGAAATGAAGTTGAAATACTACGCTAAATGCATAAAATAAAAGAACGCTTACTAATGTAGAAAACTACATCTAGGCAAATCCACCTATTTTAGACACAATTATATAAAACTTCAAGAAGGAAGTATAACAAGAACATCGTTTCTTTTAACATTCTCTTTCATCGAGTTTGCTTTTTTTTTTGCTGCGCGTCCCACGGAGGAAAATCTGAGATTGCGTCTGAAAGCCCGTTACTCCGAAATCTGTCTCGCTACAAAGAAACGAGACACCTCTGTGATAGTTTCGCCGCCTCACAGGCTGCAAAACAAGTGTCAGAGAGACAGTTTTCCAATCCCATTGGAAAAAATAGACTCCTCTTCCTTTCTAATCTCACTTACAGAAAGCCCAACAACTTGAACTGCAGGAAATTAAAACGATTCCAAGGTCAACTGATTCTTTCAACCCAGGCATTGTAGCTACGCAACTGCACTAGTTTCTTACCCATAGGCAATTTCATACTCAAAGCAATAGTTTTTCTGTTAAGTATTTTTGCAGCTTATACAGATGCTCAAAAGTTTGCTCATATTTCAACCTAATTTAATATTAATGTATAAAAAAAAATGTTGTATTACACCTTATTTATGTTCATTTCTGTTCTGATCCCCATGTTAGCCACTTGACCCACATGGTGAAAGGATGAAATTACCCTCACCCAATTAAAACTCCCATTCGCTAGTAAATTAAACTGTCCAGAAATTAATTTTATTTATACGTAGACATTTTAATTACTGGCAGTATTTACATTAGTGTCATGGAACTAAGGGTTTGTACCGATGCCTTCAGCTGTTATACAGTTCAGAATCACAGAGCTTATTTTTATTTTCAGGGAAGGGATGCCAGTGAGACTCCAGGATCTACTCCCAAGTACCGGTGAAGTCTTGTTACCTGAGGGAGGGACCTCCTGGAAGAGGGAAAACTACCATAGCCGACATCCTGCCCTCATCTTGGACCAATGCCGCTTCTCATTTCCTTGATGCCAGCTTTCTGGATCTTCTTATGTACGTCAGCTGCAGCACCTGGAAGGTGACTTGCTCCAGGAAGCAACAAGGCGGCTCTCTTTTGGTGAAAAGATATCAGCGGAGAAGTTGAGGACTGTTGTGTCCCAGTCTGACAAGACTCTGCTTCGATTGGGTAAAGACGGGAGCCGCTTCTTTTGCATGAGACTTTGAGGAGGCTTCTAATTGAAAGAGGATCTTGAAGAGTATTACTCACATCCTTTATATGCGACTGCCCTGCTCTTGAGAAAGATCTGAAGACGAGCTCGACACCAATGCACCGAGTACAATCTGCAAAGTACTGAGGACACAATGGCGATGAACAAAAAACATGTCACTTTTTTTGAAGAAATGATAGTATGTATAGTTTTTTTTTTATAAAGCCCAAATATGCTGCAACGTAAACACATTTTAAAAAGTATGTGCAATAAATATAGACTTTTGTATTTTTATAATTTGACTTTGTTGTCTACTTAATTGAAGAGACTACATTTCACACACACAGCGGTTTATTTCAAGAGACAGGTTCTTAACATTTCTCTTTTGCCAGGGGAAATTTGAGCTCCGTCCTTTTGTGCAATAGTGAAGACATACAATATTGGTCTCAGACTCTTTCATTTTCAAAAAATTTGATAACTCAAGCATACTTTGAGACTTTGCGCGGGTTTCAGTTCTTTGTACGTGCATGAGAAAAAGAAAGGTCTTGATTTAGATCAGTTGCTGGATTGCAAGCGAAGCAGGAGCAGCTTCTCTAATATCAGCCGAAGATGAGGAAGTGCCTTGACTTTACTGGCAAGAGATGCGACTTGTTACAGTAATATTTAGCTTAAAATAAAACTCAGTTTATGTTGACATCATCTTTCTTCTGAAACATTAACTGACTTTTTTCTGAGATTGAGTAATTCAGGGTATTGGCCAAGGAACTTCTTTCTGGTCTACGTTGCTGTAAAAACGTTCGTCCCTCTTCTGCCGCTACATATTTTGTCACATTTCAACCACATAGTTCGATGTTTTATTGGGATGTTATGTGATTGACAAGCTCAAACCTGAAAACTGTGCAAAGTCTGCAACCTCCTTTACCTGCGACTGCAGCTGCAAGTGTTTTGTGCCATATTGCTGCCAGCTTTGCACAGGTAGAAACTGAAAGTTGTGCCCGTTCTTCTTTTTAAAATAGCTCAAGCTCTTGTGTCTTCCACTAAAGCCTCAGGTCTTTTGCAGCTGCTACGTTTTCTTTCAGGATTGACCCGTCATCATCTACATCATCATCTTTCCTTTCCCTGCTAAAGAAAAATATCCCCTCTGCATGATACTGCCACCGCCATGTTTCACCGTTGCAATGATGTGTTCAGGGAGATGTTCTTCCATCTCATTTACCATTTTGCTTTTAGGCCAAAAAGTCAGCCATCTTTCTACAGTTGTTTCCTTCTTGCCACTCTTTTGTGAAGACATCTTCGAATTTTTATGAGTAAAACTTTTGCATAACCACCTCCACTTCACAATTGAGCATTCCTTTGTCTTGCTCTATTACATAAAATCCTAATAAAATATATTAAGGTTTGTGGTTAAGACTCACTAGATTTGAGAAGTAGCGTAAAAATGCTTGCGAGGGCACCGCTACTTTTCATGAGCTCTCGGGTAAAATGGATGAAAGTTTTAGTATTTTAAGGTGTGTTTGTGTGGACACACCTTAACCAGCAAATATCATGTTTAAGCATAAATGGAGAAGTGAAATATCAACCACAGATAGCGAACTTGAAGTTCCTGTGGTTGGCATGCAACGGTGACATAAATTTGCACACGTCGTTGCATTTTCATAATAAATTACTAATGCATCAGATAAAAATGCACAGCTGCAGGAGCAGTCACAGTCAACGACGAACATGACTGGATGTCAAAACTCATTTGGAAGATTGCAGTGGTTATTGTTTTGTCTTTTGCAAAAGCTCATTGTAATGTTTAAAGCTTGCACTTCAACTTACAGAGTTTTAGAGAATTATGACAGATTCTTCATGCATGGAGGCAAAGACTGAATCTACAGAAATAATTCACATCCTCTGGTCTTTTTACATTTGTCATTAGGCTTTTTTTTTTGTTGTTGCCGTGACCTACAACCACAACTTAAAACACATTTCCTGTTCCTGGAACACTGGAAATTACAAGCGTTGAAAGTCAGATGATCTTATTTACCCTTGGATTACTCTGAAACTGGGTCACAGTTCATCTGGAGAAACCCAAGTAAACTGGATGTGAGCAGTATGAGCTCTCAGAGTTCACAATGAATACAAAGTTAACAACAACCCAAGAGTTTTGTGTCATTTTCCCTCCCTCTGAGTAAATGTCATTCGATGAGGTTCTTGGTTTGACAGACCTGTTCCTCATCAAGGGTGGAGTCTCTTCCTATAACTTCACCCCCTTTAGCAGCAGAATTATTTACGTCACTATTTGGAAATTCAACATGTTTATGTTAAAAAGGAAACTGGACCAGTTGCTTGAAAGACAATAGGTTATACAGTCTGTCAGTTTTATTGCTGTGTGTGTTTTTTTTTTTTTTTACTTGTTAGTTGGAAAACACTTCCTCCTTGTGCCCCGTTTGGATTTTATTCTGTCTGCCTGGATGAATGGGTAAATACCTTATCTGACCACACACAATACGAATGCCGCTGCTCACCATCTGTCCCCTGCTTGGTTGTTTTTTTTTTTTTTTAATAGGATTTCTTCCTGGAAGGACTTTTTGCTCAGCTCCATGTGAAACAGAGACAGGAAATCCTCTGACGTTCAAAAAGGAATCACCAGATTGTTATCAAATCATAAACTTCAGAAACCAATGTGGGAACTGCGGTAATTTACAGCGACGTACTGTAATTTGTCTCAGCAACCTTGTCAAAAAAATAAAAAAATACCCACATTTATCATTATTCATTGATAGTCCTCTGTGGGATTTGCTATATGTGTCATCCTTATTAAGAAATTTAGGTTCAGGAAGCAATGCATCATTTGGAAACTCCCATTACAGTGGGTACTACAGGCCCTTTTGAGTACTGGTATTTTTGAGGAAATACGCATGTATTTGCTAACATCACTAACAAAAGGCAGATAGAGCTAGACAGAATCGATAAAATCAAACATGTGTGATGCAGCCATAACTGAGCTGAAGGTTTGGCACACAGCGAGACACAGGGTCCCCTGAAGGAACCGCCGTGACACATTTGTGTACCGTTTGTTTTTCTACATTTTTGATCAACATTCAGTCTCACAGCTTTAAAATGAACCTGCTCTAAAATGACAGACTTACAAAATCAGCAGATGATTAAAATCTTATTTTCCCTTATGTGTCTAAGCATTTTACAAGCAACAATAAAGTTGGTCACAGTAAAGGGAATCTTAGTAATGTAAAGTACCAAATGTGTAGCAATCTTAAAAATTTTGGGTTGCGTTAAAAAAAAAAAAAAAAAAAAAAAAAAAAAAAGGTTCCTCTATTTTTTAACATTGTTTCCCCATCATAAAACCATCAGATCTACAGAATGTGAATTTCGATTGCAACCGCTGCTTCCAATCATTTGAGAAGCGTTTATCCACTTTTTGAGTTCCCTAATTTTTCAGTATGGAGAAATGATGCCTTCAGATCCTCTGTCCACTCGACTGGACAAGGCATGTCTAAACAATATGAGAATCTATAATTTCATGACTGTTTGTCACTGTCTGGCTTCTGATTACCCAATGAGGATGAAAAATCGCCTTATGAAAGCACACCAGACAATACAAACGCAGATCTAAAACTTGCACCAGATACACCAGGTATCTGTCTTCCATTACGAAAATTAAATTATTTTAATCATAACCAAATAAAATTGCTTTCAATAGAATTTTAGCTCCTTAACAGAAGTATTCAAGAAATCATAAAAATATTTACGATCAATAAATCACTTTTTTTAAAAAGTGAATGTCAATATAAACAGGCGACCTTTTTACTAGTTTTCTAGACGCTTGATTTACGGCTTTTTGTTTATGCGATCCCATTAATTTTTAATCTTACCTCAGACGTCCACTAGATGGAGCCATCCTCTTTTCCATGCAGCCTCTGGGTTTCTCGCGTTCTGTGACAATAAAACCATTTAGTTTCATTTAAGTCTGTTTGCCACGATGGAATTAAATGCAGAATAACAATAATACAAAAAAAAAAAAAAACATATAAAGAAACAAAAACATCCGAGTACAAAGGAGTATATTTTCACTTTAGCTGATGTTGGTAATCTCGTTTTGTGGTTTAGCTTAAAGTATGCAATAAGGCGCCACTGACCAAACTCCAGAAACTGTGTACTGAATATTACAACTAGACTTGACAAGCTAGAAATCTCCTCAATATGAGGGACTAGCACAAAGTCTTTCTTAAGCGTATTTTTCCTTCAGACGGGCACAAATGTCAATTGTTATCTTTTAAAATCTTATCATTTAAACCAAGAAAAATGGTTTTCTCTGAAACTAAACCCTGTTGATGCTTTACTCCATTACCCATCAACCCCGTCCTGCCTCCCAACAGCCACAAACCGCACACAACACACCCTGAATAAGTTTACCCTCCATTCAAACAGCTTGATCCCCACCTTTACCCCCTCCCCCCTGCTCCATTTCCTCTTTCAACGTCAACCCCTCTGACCAACAAAGTTTCATCAATCGGTAATTAATATTCGAGGGAAAAGAGGAGAGCATCGGGAAGCAATTATTCAATAATGTATGGATGTAAATGCACACTCAGTCCACACAAACACACATACACAAGCACATATACATCACCATGATCGACTCTTCCTCTCCTCAGAGATCAGGTTACTTGCATCTGATGCAACTACACTCAAACGCGGCGGTTTAGATAATTTACACAAATCACATTTTAGCACAATCTTTCATTGCTACAAATGGTGTCCGTCGTTGGTGTTCACAGACTGCTCGGTACGTGCGACTACGTGCTTTCATGTGCTCTGCAACATCAAGCTCGAAGTGACCTGAGAGAAGGGCTGTAGAAATCTCATTATTGTGAGATTATGTATTCAGGCGGGTGTGCAGTTAATGTTCCACCCCACACAATATTTTGCATTTTGGGCAAAAGTTTCCTTTTTAACCAGAAACTACAAACTTCTGATGGACCTCTTGGCTGCTTCTCTGATTAACAAAATTCTTACCTGGCATGTCAGTTTCTGTCTTGGTACGTGCGCCATACTGGTTCCTCTCTAAGATGATCGAACAGAGTGATGCTCCAAGCTTTGAATGATTTTTTATTTTTTTTTTTTGCTTTAAACTTCTCCACGTTTTCCCTGATCTGTCCTCTGTGTTCCTCAGTCCTAATGATGCTGTTTGTTCACTCGTGTTCTCTAACAAACCTCTGAGAGCGTCACAGAGCAGCTGTATTTATACTGGCATCGGATTGCAAACAGGTGTTTTTTATTTACTTATTAGGTGAAGTCTGAAGGCTGTTGGTCGCACAGGATTTTATTTAGGGGCATCACAATAAAAGGGGGCTGAATACAAACGCGCACGTCACTTTTCAGACAATAAGAAAATGTTTTTATTTTTTTATTTTTTAAAAGGAATGAATACTTTAACAAGGTATTGTAAGTGAATTTTATGAAATCAAAAGTATTTATTCTGTGCTTGCTGAAAAGATTTGGATAAAGGTAAATCAAAACGGAGTCTCTGGTCCGACATCACAACAGTTTTAACCGCCAGAGTAAACACTTTACCTACAGACAAAGCTATTGTAAATATAGCGGCTACATTAAATTATGTATCACAGCTGAGTGACAAGCAGGCCCTAAAGATGCAACACTTTGGTGGTAGGGTTCATTTTGGAGTTCAGCGGCTCCAGTTTATAGCCATAAACTCTTGGCTGGCATTGACCCCATGTGTCTGGTAATTGGGATCAGATGAGTGGCAGCAAAAGCGAGGCGACCAGGCTTCTCCAAGACCTGCGCTAACCTGGAAGCATTTATTTTATGGAAAAGATGTTTAGTTAAAGTGCAGCACTGCAGCCTGCAGCCCAGCCCCTCTAATGACCCTCCAAGTCTTCTGCCCCGCCCGCCCCCACCCCTCCCCCCCCCCCCCGCCCCCCCCCCC